AACACTCATCAGAGAAGTTAAACACAGTATCTTTGGCCAACAAATCGCATAAAGGCTTGGTAATCTTGGAGAAGTCTTTAATAAATCTCCTGTAAAAACCGGCATGACCTAGAAAACTTCTAATTCCTTTTATTGTGCTGGGAGGGGGAAGTTTTTCTATGATTTCAATCTTAGCTTTATCAACTTCTATCCCCCTCGCCGAAATTCGATGACCAAGCACTATACCTTCTGTCACCATGAAGTGACATTTTTCCCAGTTCAAGACTAGATTAGTCTCTTCACATCTCTGCAAAACTCTAGACAAGTTAGCCAAGCAATGTTCAAAGCTAGTACCAAAAGTCGAGAAGTCATCCATGAAAACTTCAAGACTCGATTCTAACATGTCAGAGAATATAGCAGTCATGCACCGCTGAAAGGTTGCTGGTGCATTACATAATCCAAAAGGCATTCTACGATATGCAAAAACACCAAAAGGACATGTAAAAGCAGTTTTCTCTTGATCCTCCGGTGCTACTGGGATCTGAAAATAACCAGAGTAACCATCTAGGAAACAGTAGTGAGAATGACCCGCCAACCGTTCGAGCATTTGATCAATAAAAGGAAGAGGGAAGTGATCCTTTCGGGTCGCCTCATTCAACTTCCTATAATCTATACACACTCTCCAGCCCGTAACAGTTCGGGTAGATATCATCTCATCCTTATCGTTTCTCACTACTGTCATACCTCCCTTTTTAGGGACAACATGCACGGGACTAACCCAAGTACTATCAGAGATAGGGTAAATAATACCTGCATCCAATAGCTTCATTACCTCTTTATGCACTACTTCTTTCATGTGCGGGTTTAGTCTCCGTTGTGCCTGGACGGAGGGCTTGGACTCCTCCTCTAGAAGGATCTTATGCATACAAAATGTTGGACTAATGCCTTTGATGTCGGCAATAGTCCAACCTAAAGCCTGTATGTGCTGGCGTAAGACCTTCAAGAGCTCCTGTTCCTGCGAATCAGTCAGTGTAGCAGAAACAATCACAGGTAAAGTGGAGTTTTCCCCCAGATATGCATACTTAAGGTGACTAGGCAATGGTTTTAGTTCCAATTCCGGAGGCTGGATCCGAGATGGAACCATTTTCTCTGGAAACTTAGCCTTTTCATCACCTTCCTCCTGCATAGGCAATGCCTCGAGCATTTGTGCCCTCTTTGACACGGTTAGCTCATCAAGTTCATTATCAGAATCATCAAACTCAGAATCAGCATCATAATCATTGTTCAATGCATGATTCTATGACATCCACAACGAACACATCACTAGAGTCATTAGGGTACTTACTTGCATGGTATACATTGAATTTTACCTCTTCCCCACAGACTCTGAATGTCAGCTCGCCCTTTTGGACATCTATGAGAGCACCCCCCCCCCCCCCCCCCCCCCCCCCGTCGCTAGGAAGGGTCTCCCAAGAATGAGAGGTACTTCCCTGTCCTCCTCCATCTCCAGAATGACGAAGTCGGCGGGGAAGATGAACTTTCCCACCTTCACTAGCACGTTCTCCACCACGCCTTTGGGGACCTTTACTGATCGATCAGCCAGCTGTAGAGTAATTCGAGTCGGTTTGATCACATCTTGGAGTCCCAGCTTCTTATAAACAGAATATGGCATGAGGTTTATGCCGGCTCCAAGATCACAAAGCGACTTTGTAAACTCTGTCTCACCGACAATACATGGGATGGTGAAGCTCCCTGGATCTTCCCTCTTCTCTGGCAATTTATTTTGGATGACAGCACTACACTCTGGTGTGAGTGTTACTTTCTCCAAATCAGTCCACTTTCTCTTCTTTGTCAACAATTCCTTAAGAAATTTGGCATATGTGGGCATTTGCTCAAGGGCTTCAGCTAGCGGAATGTTGATGTGCAATTGCTTGAAGAGATTCACAAATTTTTTGAAGTTCGGGTCCTCCAGGGGCTTCATCAACCTTTGAGGGAATGGTGCGGGTGGATCATAAGGTTTTAGCTCCTCCCTCTTCGCTTTTTCCTCTTTTTGAGGTACACGGGCAGCATGCTTTTGCACAGGCAAACCGCTTTCATTTTGCCTGTGCAAGGCTGATTCTTCATTTTCTGCACAAGATCTTTCTCCCTGTGCTTCCTCTTCTGCCTCTGGTGCCTTTTTCGAGCTGCTAGGGTCTTCCAAGGCCTTACCACTCCTCAATGTCACTGCCACAACTTTAGCATCTTTTGGATTCCTCTCGGTATTAGCCGGTAATGTCCCAGGAATCCTGCCCTGCATATCCGCCAGAGTTTGAGCCATCTGTCCCATCTGCCTCTCCATAGCTAGCATAGAAGATTGTAAATTATTGTTGATGGCTAGCTGTTGAGTGACAAACTGATCCAGGCCCTTCAGATTATTGTCGGTTTTCTGCATGTGAGCCAGAAGCAATTCTTCAAGTTGTGGTTTCTTCTCTGGTTGAGGTGGAGGTTGTTGTTTCTGCATGCCTGGAGGTGGAATGTTGCGAGCACCATTTGGGTTGTTGTTTGCCCACGAAAAGTTAGGATGCTTCCTCCATTGTGGGTTGTAGGTATTCGAATACATACCACCCTGGCCTTGATTTCTCTGATTGTTGATATAGTGCACATCTTCCACCTGATCAGCCACCAGTGGACATAGATCCCTATGATGAGCACCTTCACATAACTCGCAATAAGCAACCTCCTCCTGTCTACCAAGAGCCAACTTAGCCAGCCTTCGTTCGAGTGCATCGAACTTGGAGTCCAGCTTAGCATCAATCTTTGCTTCTAAGCTTGCAACTCTGTCTACCTCATGCAAGCCTCCTCTCCTTCGAATGCCGGTCTCACTACCCCATTCAGTATCTTCAGAGCATATCTTCTCCACTAGTTCATATGCTTCTGGTGCTTCCATTCTTGTGAAACCATTCCGGGAAGCATTATTCAGAGCATCTCGGTACTGTCTTCTGATCCCGTTGAAGAAGATGGAGATCACATTCCAATCTTCGAGACCGTGGCTCGGGCATCTCATTAGAAGCTCCTTATAGCGCTCCCATGCCTCGGTCAGACTTTCATCTTCAGCTTGTTTAAAAGTGACTATTTCCTCTTGCCTCTTCATTGCCTTGGCAGGAGGAAAGTACTTATCCAAAAAGGTCTTCTCAAGCTGACCCCATGTTGTGATGGAACGGGGTGTCAAGTTCTGGAACCAGTGGGATGCACTTCCTAGCAGAGAAAACGAGAACATCCGAAGACGGATGGCATCATCAGACACAGCCGGGCTCTTCATAGTGTCACAAATGTTTGCAAACCGGCGGAGATGCTCGTGAGGATCCTCGGTGCTGGCCCCGGAGAAGGTGTACCCATTCGTGATCATATTGATGAAAGCTGGGGCAATCTCCATGTTTGCATCCCCAGCCGGAATGACAACACATGAAGCTCGGGCTCCAGTCCTCCGATTCAGACGAGCCCTGATCGAACGATCTTGTTCAGCCATGATGACAAGCTCGATGACGCGCGGCGGTGGTGTAGGTGGTGTAGGGATGACAGGTGGTGTCACCTGCCTTCTCGGTTGACGATTCTGAGTTAGGGAAGGCCTAGGAGTTGTGGATGTGGTAGGCTGCTTCCCTAACTTGACCTGCTTCCTGTTCTGTCGGCAGGTCCTCTCGATCTCGGGATCTAGTGGCAGTAAATTGCCAGTCGTCCTCCTTGGCATGCACGAGGAGGATTAACCTGAAAAATTCACCTGCACACTAACACCCAGATCAAAACAGTTCACTCACAAAAATCAACAAAAATAAGGTATGGCAGTCCCCGGCAACGGCGCCAAAAACTTGATAGGGGAAAAGCGTATATGCCTTAATCCTATCTTGTAGTAAAACCGGAAATCCGGGTATCGTCTCTCAGGGACTGGTACAACCTTATGATTTATCAATTCTTTCGAGCAAACTATATGTGAAAATGTCTAAGAGATGAAATCATTAACTAAAAGCAAAATTAACTAAACTAATTAAGCAAAGTAAACTTGTCGAGGAAAATTCAATGGGAGAAAGCTCTGGGAGAAACACCGGGATTCACTACCTATCCTATCCAGATTAATCCACATACTCCAATCAGTTTAATCCATATCTCTACAGCCAAGATATCACGAATGTGCTAGCTATCCCTGTCGGGAATTACTACGTACTAAACAATTAAATCAAATCCTACTGTCGTAGCTCAATGACCTAATTATTTAGCCTGAAGATCGATATCCTATTTAAGACCGCATAGCACCTTATTTAATCCACTGTCGCTTCGATAAGTTACTATGTCACATGAAATATGTTCAGTTAATAGGATTTCACTGTCGCTAATAACCTAATTAACTACGATTCATTGTATTGGTGGCCAGTCAACACAAAGCATTAAGCAATTCCATGCAATAGAGATTGGAAGAAAAGAATCATAAATCAATCCATCAAATCAAGAAATAGCTACATCCTATGGTGTTTCCCCCAGAAATTGGGGTTTAGTTCATGACGAAATTGAGATCAATCGATAGGGTTTTGTTCATCATGTTCTAAATCAACAATAAACAACTAGTTCGGTTTAGAAAATCCAACCAACTAATCGCTCTCGTTGAATTCAGCTCAAACCTTGGAGAAACTGCTCGTCAATTGCTCAATCGCCGCTTGATGCCTTCTCCGCTCTGTTCTTTGCTCCGCCTGGTTCTCTTTTTCTCCCTTTTAGAATTTTCCTTCCTCCCCCAGAATAAAGTTCCGCCCCCCCCAAGAGATTCCGTCCAAAACAACTTCTTGCAATTCGTTTTCTCCCTTTCTCCTTTTTGGGCCAATTAAATCCCCCGGTCCAATCTATTTCCTGGCCCATAATTCCGTGTCCCTCAGCAATTAATTGCCTCCTGTCCCGGTCCAAGGAAAATCTCAGCCCACAAAAGTCCAGTCCCGGTTCAACTCCTCAGTAAGTTCTAGTTCAATGTACATCCAGTCCACTTGAATTATTCTATCCACCAATGCAAATTTCTCGTTTCATTTACCTGAAATATATAAAACATTTGGCACTTGATGGTAATGGTTTTATAACCATTCCAGGCTTAGTTGGACCTCAAACAAGTATTATAAGTCTCAGACATATCATGAAATAATTACATTAAGCACACAAAATCAATATGTTTTCGACAATTATCAGCCACCATAATATATAAGATAACCCATTGTGGATGTGCGATCATCTGGATCACCAGCCCAATCTGAATCCGCAAAGGCAACCAGCGACGAATCAGTAGCGGAAGTAATATGAAGGCCATAGGAGGCAGTGCCCTTGAGATAACGAAACAGACGCTTCACAGACTACCAATGTTGCTGAGTAGGGGCATGCATGAACTGGGAAAGTTTGTTGACGGCAAAGGCAACGTCGGGCCGAGTGCAAAGGATATACTGAAGAGAGCCGAGAGCCTGCCTGAACAGAGTGGGATCAGCTGGAGGGGAGCCATCTCGAAGAGTAAGAGCAGCAGTTGAACTTAGTGGGGTCGGGGCTGGTTGAGCATCGGCCATGCCGAAACGGTCGAGGACGTCCGTTATAAATTTGTGCTGCGAGAGGAGAATGCCCGTGGAAGTGGGGAGGACCTCGATCCCTAGAAAATAATTAACCTGCCCAAGACGTTTGAGAGAGAACCGTGCGGAGAGTCGATCCTGGAACCTGGTAAGAAGAGCCTCGTCGTTCCCGGTGAGAAGAAGGTCATCAACATAGACGAGGAAGTACAGCAGAGAGGCACCATGATGATAAACAAACAAGGAGGCGTCAGACGTCGTTTTGGTGAAGCCTTCGTGGTGGAGAAAGGTACATAACTCCATATACCAGGATCGTGGGGCCTGGCGGAGGCCATAAATTGGCCGAGAGAGACGGCAAACATGATCAGGACGAGCATGATCTTGAAAACCGTGGGGCTGGGCCATATAGATAGTCTCCTGTAAAGAGCCCTGAAGAAACGCATTGTTCACGTCGAATTGATAAATAGGCCAATGGTTAGTCAAAGCAATCGAGAAAACCAGCCGAATAGTGACCGGCTTCAACACCAGACTATAGGTATCATGAAAATCAAGACCGGGACGTTGCGTGAAACCCTTGGCCACAAGACGGTCCTTAAAACGATCAACCGAACCATCAGGGTTGCGCTTGATGCGAAAAACCCACCGACAGGCCACTATATTTTGATCAGTAGGGCGGGGTACCAAAGTCCAGGAGTTGTTGCGAATTAGAGCTTGGAACTCTTCAAGCATAGCTGCAGCCCACCGAGAATCACTGAGAGCCCGTTTAACAGAGGACGGCTCAATATCAACATAGGAAACCTGAGCCGAGAAGAGCCTCTTTGGCTTAAATATGCCGCGCTGACCGCGAGTTGCCATGGGATGAGACCTTGGTGCTGTCAACTTCTCAGCCAATCCGGTTTTTCACTCACGGATGAAGCATTTGGCTCTTGATTTCCATTTTGTTCGAGAGCTTGTTCATGCCGCCGCCTTACATGTTCGTCACATTCCCACTGCTCATCAGCTTGCCGACGCCTTGACCAAGCCGCTGCCCATTGCTCGCTCTCACCTTCTTCGTTCCAAGATCGGAGTCGTCTCCGGCTCCGTCTTGCGGGGGCGTGATAAGGATATATGTTAATTATTTAATTATTGTAATTTGTTTAGGTAGTTCCTACTTCTTAGCTCCACTACTCCTATGCCTTTGCTACGTGCAATTGTTTCTGTTGTAACTTTGGGTATTAAACCCACAATTTGATTCAATGCCAATCACATCATTAAGCATTCACAGTTGGTAGTTGGAGATTGTAATGTAACGTGAACTTTGAAACCGAAATTGCTTGACATTATTAGTTGCCAGAAATGAACTCCATATTTACCTCTCACTCTCTAAACTACAAATGTACAACCTTTGCGGTGGACTGATGATCGGATCCTCTTTAGAAGATGCTCAGAGTCCGTGGGAGCCTCAACCTCAACCTCTTCCACCTGCTCCTGAAGAGCAATGGATGCAATCCCAGTACATGTTCCAACATGAAATCGTGCCTCGTCAATATTCCTACCACCGGTGATCTCTGCAAGTTTCAAAGACATGAACTTTATAGTTAGATGATTCACCAGACAAGAAGAAGAAGATGATGATAGACACCGTGAAGAGTATGGTAGTCGAGATAGGACGAGATTTCCAGATAGTAACATTTTAAAATCTAAATCAGGCGGGAAAAGAGCTACTTACATTGCTGATCTTGGGGATAACCAAGAGATGTCTTAACCCAAGTTCTCTGAACAGAACAAGAGCCTTAGCAAGCGACATGGTCTCCACGACGGTGTACGGAGAAGCATTCGTAAAAGGATGCAAGTCAACGTACATCTCCATCTCCTCTGCACTAATCTGCAAATCGTCAATGGTGTCCCCATTACCCGAGCCTCTCTTTGCAAAGTCAGCAGCAGAGAACTCTGCACCACCTCCCCCCCTCTCTACTGGTGTTGACATAAAGGCGTCCTTCCTCTTCAGCAGCACGATGAGATGAGCTCGAAGGATCAGCCCAGCAAGCACTCGTGAATCGTCCTCAGAACGTTCATCGACAATAGGGAAACCATTGTGCCTCGTGATCCTCAACACATGAATAATAGTACCAACCTTCTCAACTCCGTGGAACGTCCAAAGAGGACCAGAGAGCACATCAGCAACCGTCAGTTGTCTCATGTAAGGCTCGGTGTGAGCCTCGAGATATGGCAAACCTTTCGCTTTCATGATCAAGTCATAGATATTGCCGTTGAAAGCATCAGCAACTGTTTTCGAGATCAATAGAACCAACATTATCAATGGAAGAAGTAACAGATTGTTTGTGAGCTCGAGAAGAATCACACATAACGAGACGGTCATCCTCATTGATCCACCCAGGAACGATGCAGCTCCCAGGACAGCATAGAGGCCATGGTTGAGGCTGGAGTGGGGTCGACTACCAAACAGCATTCCAACAAACCGGCCATACGATGCACCAGTGACTATGACAGGGACGAATAGACCGACCGGAGCAACGATACCGTAGCTGAGGATGCTGAGGACGCAGCAGATGAGGAAGAACACGAGGACCGAGGAGGCATGGAACTCAGAGTCAGTATTCCTGCTGAAGAGGTTACGAATGGCATCGTCATTGGTGTTGAAGATGAGGCTGGCGAGATCATTGTAGTGGCCAGACGAACACTGGAACTTCTTGTAGTTGCCTGATCGGCCTATCGTCGGACAAGCCTCCAATGCATCGGGTGGACACGGCTGGCATGTGCCCAGCCATGGGACTCCAAAGAGGAGGCATGATGTGAACAGTGATATCAGGCAAGCTAGTAGGATCTTGTAGACCGTGCCTTTCCTAGGAACAAGGAATTCAGAGTTGGTCATCGTTTGTTCTCAGATAGGGGAGTACAACAATTCGGTTGACATTGGATCGACTTGGACCACAACCGAACATACAAACCCCCTGATTCTCAAGAAGCTAACAAGAAGTGATTAAGATCTTACTCGTTGATGTAGTTGTACACTCGAAGGACTTTCTCGAGCAAGAAGTTATAGAAGCTTCCCAAGATGCCTCCCATGACTCCAAGAAGAAGCACAGAAGGTACGTCAGCAAGATGGTAAGTGATGTTTGCTGAATAGACGTCGAACATGATGAGCCCTCCTTTGCCGAACAAACCACATTTCCCACTCAAACACACATCGATTAGGGCACGGAGAACTATGGCGACTACAGCTGTTGCGAAGAAAGATCTCCACAACAGGGCACTTCTCCACCTGCAAAAAGAAAGACAATGTAGAGATTTCAGAATCCTTTTTGGGTTTTGGCAAGAGTAACATTGTGAGAATGGTTAGCTAGCTATACCAGGAGGCCATTTCCTCTAGGGCGAAGAGCACACCCCCTACAGGGGCGCGAAAGGCAGCAGCGATTCCAGCTGCCGATCCACAGGTGACGAGGTCTCGCCTGTCACGGTCATTCTTGAAGAATCTTAGCCATTTCCATGTCAAGCCATACTTCTTAGAGCCACCTTGGCTAAGCAAGGATGCAACGCAGGCGCCTGTGTGGACCATTGGCCCTGCCTTCCCAACTACAAGAGATGCTGACACAGCTGTAATGCTTCCAACAACCTGCATTATGACGGAAATTTTATGCCGGTTGCGAATTGTTGATCTGTCCTGATCCGTTTCCTAACATAAATGACCTAATCCGACTCGTACTCTAGACAAAGAACTAATATGGATATAGAAATACCAATCCCTACCCCACTCCATTGCCGATTCCTACTTATCTAGGCAAGTCTCCTGATTTGGGCAAAACCTATCCTGAAGAAAGCATCAAAGCAATTACCTTCACAAAAAGAGTGCGCAAAGACAAGATCCCAGGAGCATCCACACCATTGAGGTAAGCCTTCACTTCCGGTATACCAGAACCGGCGGCAGCCGGAGCTATGAATGCCGTGATGAGGCATGCAAACAGAGTCAATACCATGTTAGATGCAGAGAACACGAAAAATGCCATCTTGGACCTGCCAACAATTTTCAATCCAAATTCAGCGGGAACAAAAGACAAAGCTTTCGAAAATTTGCAGCAGTATTAGCTCGAGAAATAAACACTCTGCTGCCAAATCCCAACCTTCCGGCGAGCATCATGTTGGAGGTGACAACGAACTTCAATCCAGCAATGTTCTCGACGGCCAAGTTATTGAAGAACCCAATTAGGCTAACAATCAATCCAACAAGAAAGCAGAGCGACCACTTCATGAACAAGTACTGGAACATCTGCTTCTTCCCGCGAGACCTCCAGTCCTGCTTGAACACGTCATTCTCCGCGATTCTGCGCCAAACCCAGTAAGAGTTTACTCGAAGCCAGAAGAACCCAAACGGGAAAACAGGTAAAAAGAATCGAACTTTTCGAACTGGGGGATCTTACTCGTAGTCGAGGCTTTCGATCGGACAGACATTGGCGCCGACGAGGGCGACCTGAGAGGTTGAATTGGTGAGGGAACGCTGTGGGAGCAACAAGGGAGTTGCAAGTGACTCGGAGTTGCCGTTGCCATCGCCACCGCCGTCCGGGGAGAGTCCGTTCATCGGGGTTTTGTAAAAACGGAGAGGAAAGACGCAACCGGATGGCAACAAATTTGAGGAAGGAGCAGGAGAGAGTAGAGTTGCTCTGCCCTCTAGCTGTGGGGGCAGAGTCAGCGGAGAAGTGAAGCGACCTACGACTATTGTGAGACTCTGAATTCCCCCTTTTTTCCTTTTCTTTTTCTTCTGTCTATGAAGATATAGATAGGGTTTCTTCGTCCCAATTATTGAGTTTGGATTGGACATCTCAATGATCTCAAACCTCATTTATGTAGTGAACTTGCAACTTACAAGCTTGATGTTTAAGGTTCTTTAAGTTCTAACCATGGTAACTATGTTTGTATTGTATATGACAATCTGATAAATTTCGATAAATTTCGATTTTATTAGTAGTCAAAATGTGGTGATATATAAATAAATTTTATGTAAAAACTGTATTGATTGATTTTATGTTATAATCAATATTGATTGGTATAGACTGATATCATATTGGTAAGATATTGATTTTGATTGAATATATTATTTTGCTATAACTAATGTATCACATTCTCGAAACAAAAGCAATAAATTGTGTTGTATTGATAAGTAAAGACTCAATCACAATTAGGGATGGCAAAAATATCCGTAACCGTGGATATCCGCCCGAGTCCGACCTAATTGGGTAGGGTAAAACTCGTACCCGAAGGCCATTTAGTGGGTAGGGGTAAAACCCGAACCCGAATATTGCGGGTAATGGGTGGGCATGGTTTTCTCACTATCCAACCCGAACTCGTCCGATTATACACATGCATATGTATTTTGTCTAGAAATAATCAATATTTTTCTCTTACATATTTTATATTTAGCATAAACATATAATAGTTTTATGAAATTGTGTTGTTTTAATTAATTTTCTTCATTCTAGTGAATTATTGTCGTACTTTTTGTCTTACGTAACGTGAGAATACGTGTCAATATTAACATATTGGTTGGGGTTATAAAGAGAAACTGTTACCCATGGATAACCGTGGATACCCGAAACCCGAACGGGTATGGGCATGGTTTAGATTTTCTACCCGTTTCTTATGTGGGTATGAGTAAAACCCGAACTACTCTAGATAGGATAGTGGATATGCACTATCCGTCCCCGACCCATTGCCATCCCTAAACACAATTTTACCACTCAATTTTACTAACTTGTTTGGCAGCTACGTCCTGCACAATCTCAACTCTCAAGAAGCATTATCTTATCAATAATCATTATGTTCCTGAGTGAAAATGAATATAATTCAATGACCTTTTTGAAATGTAGATTAATTCATTGGATTATAGATATATTTTGTATTGTCCATGTCATGTATGATATTTTATTATGACAACATTATCATACATGTTTTTTTATTATGTTTTCCATCCAAATGTCACTAACTACTAGTCTACTATCAAACTATACATAATTCATTTGAAATCATTATTTCCATCGAGAAAACTAATGAAAATAGAATTTTACCGTGCAATGTCTAATGGTTATATTACTTTTGGTCTCTCCATCGAAAATCTGAAATCTGATCAAAATGACACCTTGAGGCCAAAGCAACATTGAAATATGTTCATCCAGAAAAGTAGTTTCCTAAAAAAGCAATGTGATCTAGCACAAAATTAATTTCGTGATAAACATCTTTTACATCAAATAAATATAGACGTTAAACCTCCCCAATCAATTTGAGTCGTGTATCTAGATGTAGCGTTTTGTAAACAACTTTGATAATGTTGAGTCTGTCACTCTCCATTTCCTACTCCTATTCCCAAATGATCTCAAAACCATGCACAATTTTAGTCAAACTTGCACGGATTATGTAACCTCCAAAAAGGCAAATATATATGTTTGCTAGAAAGGCGAAAACAGAGTGTCCACAAGCTCCCAAGAGAAAGAAAGGAAAAGAGTTGACAGACATCGACCGGCGTTAAATCGAAAAGTTCGGTTCATGTCGGCAGCGACGGTGAACACGGTCGCCGTCCGGTCTTTTCTCGCCGTTTCATTTCCCTTATTACATTTGGCCCTTCCAAGCCGCGTGTATTTGAAGTAGTTGTTAGTTCATTCGCAAGCAAGAGGGCCGACTTGAAAAAAAAGCCACGTCCCTTTCCCCACAAAAATCTTTGATTTCCACGACGAATTTCCCCGTTTCTCAATGGCCATATTCTAATTCTTCTTCCAACTTTCCCATTAATCAATTCCCAATCTGACCCACCATCGGAAAGGCTTCCTTCCCCAATCCATTTCCCCGGAAAACCCGTTACTGTTCACTTCATCTACTCTTCTTCTTCTTCTTCTTGTTCATTCCCTTGTTTTCCCGCTTCACCTCTTCTTTCTCTGCTTCCAGCTGAATCCAGTTGGAAGAAAATGTCCTTCTTCGTTGGCTTAGTCGTCGGGATAGTCGTGGGCTTTGCTCTGATCGTCGTATTCGTCCGCTCCGAGAATGCGCGATCCAAGCTTCGTACTGACCTGGTCAGTGTCTCGGTTTTATTGACTTCGTTTGACTTCACTGGGTGGATGAGAAAGTTTTGAACTTTGGCAATTTCGTGATGTGGGTGCTCATTGATTTGGCTGGTTTCAGGCGGCGACGGTGGCGGCTTTTGCGAGAATGACGGTTGAGGATTCTAGACAGCTGTTGGGTCCCGAGTATTACCCTTCTTGGGTCGTCTTCTCTCAGCGCCAGAAGGTGAGAAGTTGTTGTTGATCTGTGTTTCTGTCAAAAAATGTCCTCAGCTGGGTCTCCTGATTTGTTGGGGGGTTTTTTTTTTTTTTTGTGTGTATTGCACAGTTGAATTGGCTTAATTCTCATCTGACGAAGATATGGCCTTATGTTAACGAGGTTGGTAACTTCAATGTTCTCTTGGTTAAGCTTGAATCTTGATGAATGTTTGAGACATTGTGGTTTGATGGGGAGTTAAGATTTGTTTTCTTGGAAATCTTGGCGCATTGTAGGCAGCTTCTGAACTTATAAAGAGCTCAGTTGAGCCGACTCTTGAGCAATACAGACCCATAATTCTTTCATCTCTCAAGTTCTCCAAGTTCACTCTTGGTACAGTTGCCCCTCAGTTCACAGGTTGGTCCACTTCTTGCTTTTCTTTTCTGATTAGCGAAACTTGGACTAGTTTGAGATTCGAAGTAGAGAATTGCGTTTCCATAAGCTTCCTTTAGCTGATGAAGATTCTGTCTCTTGTAAATATCGTGGAAGAGTGTGGTTTTTTAACTGTGTGTTCGATGATTCGGTTAATAGTTGCAAACGATTGTTTAACTTTGGTTATCCAAACGTCCTTACGAAAGCAATGCCATTGTGTCATTGTCCAGGAGTATCCATTTTGGAATCTGATAGCAGTGGTGTTACTATGGAGTTGGAAATGAACTGGGATGGAAACCCAAACATAGTACTTGATGTGAAGACCAGGCTTGGTGTTTCATTGCCTGTCCAGGTGCTTATTATTTACTCATAGAATTGCAATGTCAACCATTTAAATGAATTAAAGACCACAGTGTTTAATTATCCTTCTTACTCTGATGACTGATCTCCAAGATGAAGTTGTTAGTGTCCTTCTGCCACCGCAAATATATTGACATTTGTTGTAATGTGAAGCTAGTTTGTTTGATCTATGGGATTCCGACTTTTTGATCTTTTCCTTTTTTACCTTTTTTTTATTTCTTATCTTCTATCCAGGTCAAAGATATTGGATTTACTGGGGTTTTCAGGTTAATCTTCAAACCGCTTGTTGAAGAGCTTCCTTGCTTTGGAGCTGTTTGTTATTCACTGAGACAAAAGGTTCAGCATTTTGTCTTTCTAGTTTTTGACAACTTCTGATGTAGAGATTATAATGCTCTTAACGAACATGTATTGGTTGTGCAGAAAAAGTTTGACTTTAAGCTTAAAGTAATTGGAGGTGACATAACATCTATTCCTGGACTCTCTGGTGCTTTGGAGGTTCGTAATTATTTTTGGGAACTCTTTCATATGTGGTGAAACTAATGCTAATACTAATTACAAAACCACTTCCTTATTGTGCACAGGATACTATACACAATGCTATTGAAGACTCTATTACCTGGCCGGTCCGAAAAATTGTCCCTATTTTGCCTGGGGATTACAGGTGTGGCAATCTATATTACAAATGTTATATTTGCTTGTGCACATTGATGTAGACCCATGAACCGAGTCATAATGTTGTTTAGACCCTGTTCAGGTGGACCAATATTGTAGGAGGAATATTTGATTGAATGTGTTAAAGCTATTCAAGACTTGGTTGATATCTTTAAAACTCAGAAGAAATTCCAAACAAAAAGTTATCTCATGTTTCCCCAGCTATTCCTGTCTTCGCGATATCATCATTGTGGAGCCCTTTCTTTTCCTATGTCCAGTGACTTGGAGTTGAAGCCATCTGGTACACTAGAAGTGAAACTTGTGCAGGCTAAGGACTTGACAAACAAAGACTTCATAGGGAAATCAGATCCCTATGCTGAGCTGTACATAAGGCCGCTACGTGAACGAACAAAAACCAGTAAAATCATCGTAAGATACTTGGCTTCTTTTTCATAGTTCATAGCTTTCTTTAACTTGCTTGGGATGAAGGTTTTTAAACTGTATTCCTGCAGAGCAATGATCTGAATCCAATCTGGAATGAGCACTATGAATTTGTTGTTGAGGATGCATCCACTCAACACTTGTATGTTAAGATTTTTGATGATGAGGGGCTTCAAGCTTCTGAGCTACTTGGATGTGCTCAAGTTCAATTAAGCGAGCTTGAACCTGGTAAAGTGAAGGATGTGTGGTTGAAGCTGGTCAAAGATTTGGAGGTTCAAAGAGACAACAAATACCGAGGGGAGGTGAGATTTGTCATGGTAGTTAATTAGTCAAAACGCTGCTGGAATTCCTAAGTTTAACGTACATTTATGGCTTGCTGTGATTGATACCAACTTTTAGGTCCACTTGGAGCTGCTCTACTGCCCGTATGGTATGGAGAACAGCTTCACCAACCCCTTTGCCAAGAAAGTCGAAATGACAACCTTAGAAAGGGTGCTTAAAAGTTCAGGAAATGGAATAGCAGATGCTGCTCTAACTGAAAGGGAAGTCTCACAGAAGAAAAGGGAGGTGATTGTTAGAGGAGTTCTTTCTGTAACCGTGATTTCTGCTGAAGACTTGCCTGTTGTTGATCTCATGGGCAAGGCTGATCCTTTTGTTGTCCTTACCATGAAAAAGTCGGATACTAAAAACAAAACCAGGGTAAGTTTCTCTTCCATTACACTTGAGTCTTCCAATGTCTCCATTTCTGTTGATTTTCTAAATTCTCAATAATACGACCAATTCATACTCATCATTTTAGCCTTTCCTTTTCTTGCTAGGTCGTGAATGAGAACTTGAACCCTGAGTGGAACCAAACATTTGACTTTGTTGTGGAGGATGCACTGCATGATATGCTCATTGCTGAAGTTTATGATCATGACACCTTTCGCAAGGTAAGTTTGGTACCATCCTCTCTCAAAACGCCCATGGATTGTGGTTCCTGACAAGTTTGGATTTTTGGTAGCACTGTTCTCATTCAATATTTTGTTATTTAGGAATATATTGGGAGATGCATCTTGACGTTGACCAGGGTCATATTGGAAGGAGAGTGCAGAGAATGTTTCACGCTGGATGGTGCTAAATCTGGAAGGCTGAATTTGAGCCTCAAGTGGGTTCCACAACCAATCTACCGCGATTCCCAGTGGTAGGAGGCGCCACAAGCCATAGTTTCGGTACTCAGAAATTCCCATCCTTCGATCATGGAGCTCAGTGTATCTCATTGCTTGGAAACAAGCTGTACATAAGAATTCTTTTTGTGGATTACTCAGAAGATTTTTGTTTCAGTGGATGGATAATGAGAGATTTTTTGTGAGAATGAGATGGTAGGAAGCAGAGCTTTTTTGACATGTTGTAATCCACGTATGCTTTATAGGGTTTCAATAATATCAACGATTCCAATCAGGCCCTTTGAATTCTCATGATACTGCTTGAAGATTAGCAAATACAGAAACAATGTCAGAATCTAATAGTAAAGACTAAAGATTCAACGACGGAAACAACAGCATCCCTGTTATAAATATGACGTAGACAAGGATTGCATATGGCATTTGCATTATACATTGAAGGAACTGCCATAATCTTCAGCAATCGGCTGCTGATTTGGTGTGAGCTTATCACTCTGAATCAAGCAAGAACTTAGCATTAATCGGCTGGATGGTACTTCTCAAGTGATGCTTGTTTAGTTTCCTGCGTCCCAGATTGCCTCCCCTGCAGGAAATCCAGCACAAATTCAGCTGGTATGTAACAGGACCAGAGAATTTTGCATGTTACTCAACAAAAATGGTGGCAAAATTCGTCATTATGATTTCCTTACCAGTATTGGTTGTGCAATACAAATGCATCAGTGGGCACCTTTTTGCCATCCTCGTTGCGGTTCCAGTGGTACAACGCATGTGTCCTATTCTTTATCTCTAACGTTGAATGCCCATAACTGGCTTCCCTGAAAGCCGAATAATCTGGTTGTGGTTCTAAAAACCTGCACATGTCATCAATGGAATGGTTGATTCCTTGATTTGATAACTTATTAGCAACTGAATCTGTGAGAGTTTCGGGTTATTTATGTTTATATATACCTTCCAGCAAGACCTTCTTGATTTCCTCCATCTCCTACTGTAATATACACAGGCGCAGATTTGTCTGGAATAGGATATCGATCGCCACTTGTCACATTGTATTGGATGTTTGATATTCGGTACTGGAGATAGATAAGAAAGAAATGCATTAGCTTTTCATACACTGCACAACTCTATTTTCGTAAGAAGTAAAAGCTCCTCTGACTTACCGATCTTTCATAAGCGTGGACATGACCAGCAAAGATAACATCGACTCTGTATTGAACAAACCATGTCTCAAAAGCCGCTCGCATACTTTCACCCTCCATGAAATGTGCTTCATTGCTGTTGTAGATAGGGGCGTGCATGAGAACAATGAGCCACGGCGTCTTCTCTCTGTCAACCTTCTTCAACTCTTCCTCAAGCCACGTCCATTGTGGAGTGTATTTCACTGGTCAAAAGGTTGAATTAGAGAACAACTGATAGATTACCATAAAGAAGAGTCGAAGTTCAGAAGGTTACCAAAAGGTGAATAGCTGGAGAGCACAATGATGTGAGCAGATGCACGTTTGATTGCGTACCAAAGAGGATTGGTGCTTTTGGAAGCCAAGTAAGGAGTTGGGTACCGATGAAGAAAGTTTCTGAAAGGCACAACCTCGTCCTGTGACATAAGGTGGAAAAGATGGTCTAGAATTACTCAAATGGAAAAGCGTGAATCTCCAGTGTTACGACATTGAGAATAGCACTAACAAGTATACCATGTATGGCATGAACTCGATTTCATGATTTCCAGCAGCCCACATCCATGGCTGATATGCTGTGCTTTGCTCGACAAAACGGCCCCATGTATCCCATCGGATCCCAACATCATTATACTGATATCTGTCTGAATAAGAAAGATCCCCAACGAATAACACTGCATCTGCCCCACTCTGCATGTAGTGTTGAAGGGTAGAGAGGGAGTTATATGTTTGGCCTAGATCACCTGGAAGACATAAATAGAATGGAGCGCAACCGAGTGATAAATCAGTAACCATATAGGGAAAACTGCAGCTCATGAAAATGCATATATGCACAACACAGGTGGCAACTTACCAATTATTCCAAACTTATAAGGAGCATCTGGATGAATCTTCGGTGGTGTTTGGAACCAGAATTCTCGAGAAGATTCACCATCACCGAGCTTGTAATAATACTTAGTAGCATACTGCAGACAAGAAAATATCTCAAAACGAATAACTCGGGCCAAGTCTGCGAAGTTCGAAACACATGACTTCAAAGTTCTTGAAAGTGAAATTTACCTCAAGGCCATCAAGGAGGCACTCGTGAATGTAACCTGATTTGTACTTGTAGAAGGAATAGTTTGACACTGTCCCTTCAGCAGTCAAATCATATTTCTTTTCCGACTTACCATACTGTACTTTGAGAGAACCAGGCTCGTCAGGTGTCACCCATGAGATGATCACAGCCTTCCCTTCATAGTCACCTTGTGTAATGTGCACCTATGGTTGTTGAGATGAAACAAAGAAATTATGATAAAAATGCATTACACACTCCCATAACCAGTTACAACAACCCTCAAACAATAATAGATTCCAGACCGCAAATGCACTCTCTTTCCATTTAAAGCAGGTACAATAATCTCCACTCATGGACTTAATAAGCAAACGTAATCTCTTTTGCAAGCAACTCAAGAAAAGTTACAGTTTACCTGTTGAGGTGCATTTCGACCTTTTGGAACTGCAAATGCTTGATTATCAAAAGGGATATCAGTCGATGGCCACTCCGAACGCACGAAGGTACTTGTCATCTTCGCATTCCCATTGTTCAAACCACTCAAGAACAGAAAGAACGCGGTAACAAGCCCAACCCAGAACTGCTTCATCTTTACAAACTTTGTAAACCCAACCTATCTGCAGTCATCAAATAAGCATCAAAGTCGGAACGTCAGATTCTCAAGTCAAATTTTCATTTTGACACAAACCCTTCCTACCAACCAACAGCCAACTCCTCCCAAACTTGGGAGGCAGAGGAATCAAAGAACAACTCAAATCACCAGTGACAACGGGTGAAGTTCAATGCTTTCGAATTCCACAAGGAACATGGATAATTTGCAGGTAGAGCCATTCAATGATCGATACCAATAACAGTCAACCTTGACTCGATTTGGCTGATACCCAGAAATTGAAAAAGGAGGGATCCACAAAGATCACAGTTTGGTAAAGAGAGATCTAAAGACGAGACATTTTGCTTACCTGAGAAACATTAGCAGATAAGGTGACGATGAAGCAGTTGAGGAAGAGAGCTGAGAAGAAAGCAAATGATTGAAAGAAGCAATCTTTATTTTAGAGAGTGTCATTTATCTCTTCAGAATTACAGTTGCAGTTAGGAAGCTTTTGTAGCGGAGGCGCAGGTTTACTGTCAGTGGATGCCCGACACCGGAATCATGACGCCATCCATGCGTCAGTTTCGCCAGGCAAAATTGTAGGCCCAACAAGCTCAATTGTCAAACCATGCACTTGGGTGGGGTCTGGCCCGAGAAAAGGCCCGTAATTTTGTTTCATTTCGCTGATTAAGGGCCCGAACATTTTGGGAGGTTTTTCGCGAGGAAGGAAAGGGAAATTCTTCGAGGAAGGCGATCGATTTTGCTCTCATCAGCGGCGGCGATTGAAGACGGCTGCGCTAGCTCCTCCGTCGACGGCGGAAACCCCAATAATTTCTGCAGGTTTGTTCCCACCTCCACTCTCGTATCGATCTCTCGAATCGTTTGGTTTTCCCCCGTGGATGTGTTTGCTCAGTTACCCTGGTTGGGAGTGAGCTCCTTTCGCCATTGTAGCTGAAAAGAAGAGAACTTTGGAAATTCGTAGTAGAGGGTTTTTGTTTCCTGATTCATTTGGATTGCTGATTGTAGTGTGATTTCCCACTTCTCCATCGCAATGTTGTGGGCAAGTATAAGGAGGAAAGTTGTAGATTCGGCAGTAAACGCTTCCATCGGCCGCGGCTTTACTGATTTTGGTACTTATGCTAGAGGGAATCCAGTCTGTTCATGGCCATCAAGGTTAGTACAGTAGTTCGTAGTTTGAGCAGTCTTTCATCTTAAGAAATGACTAACTTGATTGCTGTTTGAGAGGCTCTATGAATGTTGATAAACCTACTTGGGTGTTCTGATTCATTGGAAGTTGGCTTTTGAAAAGCATATGCTTGATTTGCTATTCATTTGATACCATTTCGTTGTGGAGCAGAAACTCGTCGGGTTATGGACTGAGTCGGTTGTTTTCTTCGGCAGCAGAAGCATCATCAACTAGAAGTGAAACCCAGGTGCCATGTCTAGGCAGTTTGATTTCCTGTTAGCCACGCTTTCCAGTTGTATCCTCCAATTATACCTTGAAAGTCTGAAGCTTTTTGGTGGGTTGCATTTGTGTAGTGATTTCGACGACTTTGTTAAACGTTACAGGTACCTGTGGCGAGGGCAATGTGGAAGGGTCCATTCGTGGATGCTTTCCTGTTGAAATTAAAGAACAAGGGCGCGCCACTAAACAACAGGAAGATCTGGTCTAGGAGGTCGGTCATATTGCCGGAGTTTTTGAACTCCACCGTCAGGATATACAATGGGAAGTCGTTCGTTCGTTGCAAGATCACCGAGGCCAAGGTGGGCCACAAGTTTGGGGAGTTCGCTCTGACGCGAAGGAGGAAGTTCAGAGGAAGCGATGGCAAAGGGGGTAAGACTAAGACCCTTAAGAAGGGTGGCAAGAAGTAGTAGTGATAATGGGCTACTCATCTTTTACTCGTCTGCTACTACAACCTTAAGAATTTGAAGATGGAGCTTTACAATAATGAAAGATTCTGAGATGTGATTGGGAAAATGTGGGATGTGTTGCGGCATTGGTTTCTTAGTTTTTGAAGTCCGTGGTTCTGAAAATGTATAATTTGATTTGGATCAAATCAGTAATAGTTCGGACCATCAAATGTATCACATGACCTTTCCATTAAGTTTCTTACCATACTTTCTCTCATGCTATTCGATCCAACCCTGTACCAGTACGATCGGACCACTGCCCACCGGTTATTCGGGCAGGGCAAACTCGAACAATCAAGCACGAAATGAAGTTTCCTAGAGATTTGGAACTCTGTTGTGCTTAATTCCTTGAATGCAATCGAAAATAGTAGAGTTATCAAGTGCCAGAAATAGACCAAAACTGAAGCTTCATAGAAGAGCATATACAGACCACTAAAGAAGAATACATACTCTCTGTCGGCACTGTCTTCTGCCTTTTATGCAGCAGATTGATAAAAAAAAAAAAAAATCAAATCTAAGTACAGTTACAGAAGCTCGATGTACATGCCACCTCAATTTATTGATTCCATTTTGCCTAGCAGCCGTCGGCCATCGCTGGAAGCTCGAAGCACGCTGAAGCAACGTGAAATCTCATTACAAAAGCACAAAACTTTTTCCCCCTCGGAGTTGAGGTCAGAGGAATGACCAGGAAAAGGAAAAGGAAAAGCTCTGGAGATATCAGATACCTAATTCAACAACCGAAAGGGAAACTCAGCTCTTATCCCGTCTCCAACTCTTCCTGGCTATGCTCACCTACTCTCTTAGAGAAAACGGCCCTGAATATCGTGAAAGCTGCGATGAGAGCAATCTCCAAGTGCTCAGAACTACTGATCTTGACACCAACTTGCCCCATCTTCAGTGAGTTCAGATTCACATTAACACCCACTCTAGTACCACGCATTGCCTGAAACTCTGACTGCACTCCACCACTCAATACTGTATCCTTCTCAAATGACAGAGGGGACAGGAAGACACTCAAACAATCGTTCCTAGCTGGGTAATCAGTCCCTAGCACAGTGGCTTCGAACCTCCCACCATATGCAACTTGTCCAGCACCTCTCATTTGTGCTGCATTGACCAAAAACTTCCACCTCTTACCAACCAACACCGAATCTTCAACCTTGCCACCTACATAATACTTCTTGCCAAACGATGTCAATGAAACCCCACAGTCCATAACATTGTGCTTGAAATTCTTCATTCTCGTGTTGCCGTGAACCGTGTAAAACATGTCTTTTCCAGCAGATTGAACATTCAGACCTACAGAGTATGAGGGCCCCCAAGGATCAGAATATGCAGTAGTACACTCTGACTGAATATTGAAGTTTTGTTTATCCTTGCTCATCTGCCCGGAAACTGAGGCATGGAGGTTCTTCCTCATTTCCACAGAAGTCTCCAAGTTTATACCGTCAAACCCAACATCATGATCCCATCCTTGAGGATCAAGTACTGGCCTTGGAATAAATTGTTCATTTGTGACAAGGCAGCGATATCGATGCACATGACAGTCCGAGTCGAAACTCAGAGGAACCACCATGTCTGCTAAGAGGACTGCCTCCGGCAAGGTGGCAGATTCATCACCCTCTTCATGACTTACTTCTCCCACAAGCTGCTTCTCCCTTCGTCTTCTACACTCTTCTTTCAACTGTTTCTTCAAGTAAAGTGTCTCCCGGTAATCTAGCTCATCAAGATAATCATGTTTATGAGACTTGCTCAATTTTGAGAACTGGGATTTTGACAGGATACGGATCGGTGGTAGTTGGTCGTATTCATCTTCTCCTTCTTCATCTGATAGTAGAATCTCGTCGTAGAAATCATGACCACCATCTTGAGTAGGATTTGAAATAGATCTATACTTGACAAACGATGAGAGCAAATGGGGAAGAGAAGGTACCCGCGGTTTAGTCTTTGCTCCCAAGTCAATGCTCTTCTCGAGTCGCAATATGTTGCTCGCAACACTAAGAACTTTACTGCAAATGCACAATAGCATAAAATGAGATCTCCAGACCTGACCATTCGGAAGAATAGCGTCACCACGGGTATTCTTCACGCACTGAGGATGATTCTCCACAAGAATCACAGGGTTCTCGAGTTTCGAGTCAAGAACTGCTTCGTGGATGTAGTGTTGCATCAACTCAGAGCACCGATTCACATATGATTCATAGCTGACAGGATACCCACCAGTTCCTTCTGGAAGGGAAGAGGAAGCATGAGTCATTACAATCAAGGTGTTGAACCAAATAGCATTCCCGAAAACGTCCGTCATTAGCTTCAGCAGTGGGAAGTCGCAAGAGCCCATGTTGATGAGGTCGAGGCGCTCGACGAATAAAACAATGTCTGGAGGGGATCTCCTGATGAATCTTTTGACAGAGAGCATGATCTTTCGATTTCTTCTAACACTGCTGGTCGATGATGGAGAGAAACCAGGTGTATCTATGAAAGTTACTCTAACCCCATTGAGAGAGCCACTAATCTCTTGTATACGGTCAGTGGCCGGTTGAAATGCACTAGTGATTGTCTTTCTTTCATCCAGTAATGAGTTTATGGTCGCACTCTTCCCAACTCCTGTTTTCCCAAGTACAAGTATTCTCAAGGAGAAGTCCAGTTCAGGTGAGCCGGAAGACTCTTGAGCTGCTGCTATCGCTTTGGCCCTAGCATTTCTCACTCTGTCTGGTGGCTCAGCTCGAATCGAAGTCGCAATGTGTATCCTGTATAAAACCTTCGCCACGAGGAGATTGTCTGAGGACAAACTGAACCGTTGAAGCAGACGAAAGAGCTTGATTTTGAGATCTTCAATCCTTGCCAAAGGATCCGTCTTTCTTCCCTCAACATAGTGATTGCGTGGCTGGGAAGCTGCTTCGACTACTTGCTGGGGAGTAGTGGTATCAGTTCCACTCTCCCGTCTACTCTCAATGGAACAAGGTGCCCCTGAATGCAGTGGCAATGCCTCCGAATTGGTGGTTAAATCTACAAAAGGCAGAAATAATAAGTTCGACTCAGTCCTAAAGGTATACACCACATCCAGACCAGAATTTGGCACTGCATTCAATGGTTACCGTAGCTTAAAACAATCACACAGCGGTGGAGCTTACTGCTGAACATATCATACATCACCCATCACCTATCCCTCATATCGTAGCAAGAGAAGACTAAATGTTGCAGCTCCCACTTCAAGGTTGAGTTAAACCCGGATTTTGGGGCGAAACATACATAGTATCTACCCATTTACAACAACCAGATGGAAATGGATTTTGGCAGGTGATGCAATTAGTAAATTTACCTATGTCATCAGCACGTTGATCCACTGGAGGCGGGCCACTGAAGCCGCCGGGTGACAACGAGGCCAGAGATTTGACCAGCAGCTGGGGGAAAACCCAATCCATAATTCCCTTCATCTTTCGCACTGAACATCACAATTCAAGAATCATTAAAAAGCTGAAGAACAGAATCGAAGAAAGCGAAAGCCACCGGGGAAAGCAATGATTATGTTCCTTACCCCCCAACACTTCAATTACCCAAAACGCGAGACACGAGAAAAAAGCGAAGGAAAACGAGCACAGCTGCTTTTACTGGTGGTGGGGAATCAGCGGGCGCAGCAGAATCGGTACTCTCGCCATTCCTGGAGAATCGCGTAGAAAAATTACACAAACCCAGTTAAGAGAACTGCAAAATCGGAAACTGGTTGTGTCAGTTAAAACTCGTTGTGCAGCGGAACAGGCATAACCTAGCTCGAGAGAAACGCGATGAAGAACAAGTGACGAGGAGATTAGAGGGCAGACGGGAAAGGATCGCCGTGGGGTAGGCGGGAGGTGAAAAAGCAATGATACTGAATCGGAGATTGGCCGGCGGTTGGTCGGGACTGGAGGAAGATGGTGATAACGAGAAGGAGAAAGGAGAGGTGAAGGGGTTTGGTGGATAAGAGAAGGAGGAGTAAGACAAACAGGGAGAAGAAGGGATTTTGGGAACGACAGGCGCTAGCAATAGCATCCACCACACGTGTATTTTTTGTTCTATTTTTTGGTCCATAAAGAAATAACACATTAATCACCCAACTTTGATAGTTGACGAATTTTGCTAGTGAAATAATGTGACATGTAGTTTAATCGGTTTCGATCAATTGAAGAAAGTATAAGGAAATTTGTAGTGTCTAAAGGTAATAGACGCTTATTATGTAAACGAAGCAAATAATGTGACAAGTAATTGGTGCCGACCAACGATTGATCAGGACGAAAAGTTCCTTGTAATAGTTTCCTTCACCGAGTTATTAACCTATCACGCACGAAGGATAATTTCGCTGAATCGAATGTTAAGTTATAGGGCGGAAAAGCTAATGGTGCAAGAATGAGTTCGATAGTTCGACATGTACAATCATTGATCATATACTGCAACTACAAATCGACACACCTGCATTTGGAACTTATATACAGAAAGCCATCTCTTTCCACTTCTACGACATAACAAGAAGAATCTGATGATTATAGCAGCTATAGGTATCAATTTTGGAGCATTTTTCAACTGTCGCCATATCAACGTTCTATATCCAGTTTACTACTACACTCCCAATGGGGATTCTGATGGTGATACAAAAGCCAACCCAAAAACCAGTAATACGTCATCACTATGATCCCACCACCACCACCACCAAAACAATGCTTCTTCAACCAACAGAATAGAATAGGCAAAGAAAATCGAAGAACGAAATAGTTCGACGCAAAAAAGGAAGCCAATATTCCACGAATCCATTGCTGCAACTGCCATTGTAACCCTAAAACCAATAGTCAAAATCACCAGCAGAACCACCCGGTAGAAGGTGTTCAAGAAGAGATTCCATTTGCTTGTTTATTCTTTTCTGTATGCAGAACGAGCCACGACCAGACTCTGCACGCTTCAGCAAACTGACGACTGGCGTCGAATGCCTGTCATTGCGACCATGTCGTGCATCGGCATTGCCAGCTGCCTTACTTCCCCGGCATCAAAAACTGGTTCCATGCTTGCCTGGTAGTATATCGAGTATCACGATGGGCATACCTGGGCACTCGCTCTGTAATAAAGCATCTTCTGCACATAAAACATCATGTACCCCTGCGCAGCCCTCACCACATTCTCGTTCACTCTGGTAATCCATGCGTCGTCACATTTATACCACTGATTGCTCAGCCGCAAATACGTGACATAATGACCAGCATCCAGCTTTCCCGAGTGGGTCACCACGGCAAACAGCTCAAATTCCGAGGACATCTCGTTTGCTGCCACGTCATCTCCATCATCTCCTTCGAATGAGAAGACCCGGTTCCCGAATCGACTCCTCAAAATGGAAGAAGATAGATATGGTGCCATGTCCAGCGAGAAAGGGAACTGCAGGTACCGATCGACTTTCCTCGACATTTTTCGGGTGTGAGAGTGCTCGAATCTCTTGATGTGGAAGCAGGAGACCAATGGGAGCTTTCTAATCGACATCTGCTTCAGGGATTCCTGACTCACTTGGCACTGTTGACAGAAGAATTTCTGGTCGGACCCCAATCGCTCGGGTCGGGTGAAGCGGTCCAAACATCCAATCAGGGTAGATGTCGTGGGGATTTGGGTCGAACTGAAGCCGTTTGCTTCACTATTGGAAGATGGATGAGATTTAGCAGATGTCTTTCCATGAGCTGTCACTTGGTGAGGCTCCAAGTCGAGTGAGATGTCCACACATGGGTCATATGTTGTGGACGTAAAACCACAGGCCATGCACATGACATCGGACCGCAAGATGCCGGAAAATACTCTGTGTGCAATACAGCAGTCTCCATGTCCTGAAATTCAAAAAATCAAAGACAAGATATGGTTACCGATGTGTGATCAAGATAATATGTTCAGAGAAGTCCCGAAATAGCAAGTCTATTGTAGTCCTAGTATGTAACTTCACAAAAATAAAGCAGATAGATGCAAGCAACTACTAGCCTAAAATGAAATCAAACATTATATTTCAGCAATCTCCAAATCATATACTAATGGTCTATTTGTCAAGGACACTTAAATGATAAAACCAGGGATATGGAGAGTAATAGCAGAGTAATCAAGCTTAAGGAAATGCCACTGAGCCTATCAAAAAGGGAGACATCCAGAAGAAAGTTAGACTGAAGCTGGAAGACAATCCACAAAAAGAAAAAAAGAAGTTTGGCTGAACCTAATTATCAGGAATACGGGTGAAGATCCTGACAAGAACCGAGCGGGTGAAGGAAAAATTAGACTTACAGGAGCAAAAGCAGGATGACACGATCAAATCTGCAGGTTGGTGAAGACTTAGTCCTAACTCTTGCACTTTCAACTCCTAAGGCAAGTACATAGACCTAATAAACCCCCCAAAGCCTGCAGTTAAAAGTTACCAGTTATTTCTTTATCTTCAAGAGCATTTTCCAGAACAAAATTTAACACAGAGAAGAAGAAAAAAGTGTGAGTTGTCAAAAGCTTAAGATAACTCCAAAGACGTGCAGTTCGGGGGATCTATCGATCATGGCACTAATGCGAACACCAACTCTTCCAAGGCACGCATAACTACATGGTTTAGAAGTCAGGAACTTAGACCTCTTACTTGGCTGGGATATCTAATACCTCATAGGCCACCGAATTGTTTCCTCGACTCTAAAGGGACCTCCCATTAGCTGACACTTTCAATCCACAAGTTCGTTGATAACAAGAACATGCAGCAAGTAGCATAGTACAATCCAAAACTTAAGCACACAGATAGAACAACCAAAAACATAACCGGGCCATACATAGCAGGGAGATGGACATCACATTGCAAATCTTGGATTGTATAAAAGAACTATCTTCCACTAAATGAACTTAAAAGAACATGCACCTTTGACAAAGTACACTGCTAGGCTAGCTGACAGATGCAATGAGTTGGAAAGTGCAAACAGGATAAATTCGTTTCTAAGAAGGCATATCCGATTAACTGAACCAACAGTAGTTGCAAGCACACTTTTTCGGTTTACCTGGACTCTGGGGTTTTCCTCGATCCCTCTCCACATTTTCATGGATTCCATCAAGCATAGAAATGAAAAATTCATGAGCATCCTGCTGGTCATAGCTTGCCAAGTTAGACGCATGCTGCCACCAGCTGCAAACCAACCAAAAAAAAAAAAAGACAACCAATCAACGAATCATTCAGTAGAACAACAACAAACCATGATAGAAGTTCCAGACCCAGATCAAGTAAATGGGTACCTGTACAAAAACTTCGCGGGGCTATATGGTTTGCGATCGCCAGAAAAAACAGCGGAAAACATCGCATCCACGTCGCAAGCTAAGCACAGCTTCACACCCTTAATCATCCCATTGCTGTTGTCGCCACCACCATTCCCACCATTCCTCTTCCCGCCACCACCGACACCGCTGCTGATCCGGCCCGTAGTTGCCGCGTTCTTCAGCTGGCAGTAATACCGATTGTGCCGATCACTCAAGAAATAGTCCCTCAACGGCGGAGTATGCAGCAAGGCCTGCAACACCGAGTTCATAAAACAAGTGTTCCCCAGATTGTTCAGCCCTCTAAGCCCTCGAGGCCGATCGATCTCGCAATCCAACACGCTCGATCCATTATCCATCAGCAAACGCTCGCGAACATCGGGCGACCAGGGACGGTAATCTACCCGCCGCCGCTTCCGCATGTTCTCCGGGTTCCCCGACGACTGGACGGCGATCGCGGACTTGAGCGCGGCGGACTGACACAAGACCACGGCGGCATCGAAATCGCGATCGTAGATCTGATCGCGGCAGGCGCAGCAGAAAAGCTCGGCTCGATCGACATCGACCGCGATCTCGTGGCCGCCGAGGGGCATCGAGGCGGCGTGAGCGGAGGCATGGGAGGGCCCGCCGGAGGGAGCGTGGCAGAACACGGCTGCGCACGCGACGCAGGCGTAGAGCCTCGATGGGGAGGAATCGCCGCACGCTGCGCAGCGGGGGACCTCGGAGGGTTCGCGGCGGATCCCGGCCCGGCCGCCGGGAGGTTTGACGCGGAGGCAGTCCTGGAGGGCGCGAAAGGGCTTGGCGCCGTTGCGGGAACGGAAGTCGGCTAGATGAGGGCAGGAAGAAGTGAGGGGAGAAATCTGGCCGTCGATTCGGTGGTGATGGTGGAGGTGGTTGATCGTTGATGACATGGAGGGAAGAGATGGTGGTGGTCGGGCGGTGGAGAGGGAACGGCGGAGGAAACCCTAAATTGGGAGAACATAGGGGGGATGTAAGACGGCGGGAAATCAACGGCGGAGATTGTGGGGATAGGAGAAAGGAGAGTGATGAAGCTTCAAACCTCTTCCTTTATCAGTCCCCTCCGTTTCTTCCTATTTTTCTTTTGTTGGTCACTTTACACTATTGCCCTTTCTTGGTCACTTTACCAAGTTTCTTTCACCAACAAAACGGTCATATCCATTTCGTCAAATTAACAAAATGGCCATTTCGTCTATTTTTTTGTAATTTCTTTTTAATTAATTACCATGAACATGTCATATTATCTAGTAAGTTAATTTAAGCTCAACATCTCAATTACATTCCAACTCGAATCAATCCAAAAAGTCTCAAATTACGACATTAGTTATCGATTTGAATTTTCTTCAAATTTCACAAAACAAAACATATATTAAGTGATGACAAATCATGATTTTAACACGTCAACAAACGTCACTTACCCAAACTAAATCCCTTCTTGAATGTATCAGACGTCAATATAAAAGCTATTCAGTTGTATAGGATAAAACATGAATGATTGGAATGTGAAATAGTAGATTCGAACAAAATTGACCTCAAGTTTTCATGCATGATCAGTCAGTAAAATTCTATCATCAACAAACCCAAGCACCCTCGTTGAAACTGTTTTCCAGCGAGAAAACTTGCATTGAATTGAGATTGATTGCACCTTTGACTTCTTTGGAGAATAATTACTAACTACACGGTTCACACCTCTTCAAAAAAAAGTTCGAATGGGCGTGGTTGATTGATGATTTCTTGGAATGAAAATCTGAATTAAGTTACTTCTACTCCTATGGAGGTTCGGTGAGAGCTCCAAACTAAAAACTACGTATATGGCTACATGATGGAGAAAAGATAAAGGGTAAACTTGGCAAGTGTATCAGAGTGTTGGTTTTGGGACCTTTTGTCTCTGTCGACCACTCCCTCTATTTATAGCCACGAGGAGGTAACCGCCATAGAAATCACTTTTTGGATAACTGCTACAAAGAACCACTCCCTCTTCTCCAGAGTGGTAATTACTCCTTCAACCGCCTAGATGCTTCTCTTGGAACCGCCATGGGTCTTGGATTGTAGCCTGCCTCGCACAGTCTTGTTCCAAATCCCGTGCCATGCTAGTCTTTTGATAAGCATGTGGTGTCTCACAAAAGGAGGTCGTGGTCCTCTTGCCCCATTGCCATGGATTTCTTACTCATGTCCATGACCCTCTTGGGACTTAGTCACTAGTGATATAATGCTTCACCACCATGTTCTTCTCATACGTGTCCATGGCCACTCTCGTGAGGTGGCATGGACCTCTCAATCATGCACACGGCCCCTCTCGGGAGGCGGCATGGCCTTCCCAAACTTAGTATTTTTCAATGTATCTAATGCTGCTTGCTTCACGTCCATGGTCATCACATGACACGGCCATATACCTATTAATCATGCACATGACCCTTCTCGTGAGGCGGCATGACCTTCTCAGACTTAGAATATTTTTCAGTCATGCCTAAGCCTATTGTCTCGCGTCTATGGCACTTCTCGTGAAGCGGGATGGACCTCCCAGACTTAGAATCTTTTGGGTCATTCGATCTTGGTCATGAGGCAGCATGGCCTCTTCATTCGAGACCATGGACTTCTCAGTCATGTTCGTGACCCTTCCCGTGACACGGCATGGTCTTCTCATACTTAGCATTTTCAATCATGCCTAGAGCCTCTTGTCTCGCGATCATGCCCCTTCTCGTGAAGCGGCATGACCTTCTCATACTTAGTAATTTTTTATCTAGCCTGATATCCGCTTCTCGTGGCATCACGTGACTCCGATAAATTCTCCCTCCTCCATGGTCCCTCTCATTGACATGGCACGTGCTCCTAAATTGTAGACGGGCATGGCTCTCTTCGTGGGCTAAGATCAGGTGACTAAGGGGGAACCCTTAGTCACATGACTAAGTGAATCTCAGCCATTCCACCTCATTAAAATCCAATGACTCACATTAATCCAATTTAAAGAAGGACAACATAGCAATTACACCATTATTAAATTTTGATTTACCAATTAAAATACATAAAAGATGCAGTCTAGTTGATGGGATGGCTTCTTAGTAGTTCATGTGGGCGGGCTTGGATTTGGTGGCTTGCTTGTTTGGTTGCGGGCTGCCTCGCTATTGTTTGTTTTGCTCTGTTTTTCGTTTTTTCTGGTAACTTTATTAATAGATTTCACCATTAGCAAAAAAAAAAAAAAAAAAGATACAGCCCGCCGCGGTAGCTAGCACCCGCTCCCTTCTCCGGCAGCGTGGCATTTTTCGCAGGAGGGCACTTAGTCCCGCCGACCAGTCCTTTTCTCCGGCGGCATGGGAAAAATCTCTGGAAGGGTGACCATTTTTCCCAGGGGAAGGTCATTTTTTCCTAAGGAATTCTCTCCGCGGGAGGAGGGTGGGGAGAGGGAGAATTTTTTGTCATCGGCGGAGAGGATTTTTCGGTGATGGGAGATTTTCCGGCGACAACGTCTATTTTGTTATGTTTGTCGGACGCTTTTGTAAGTATGTTCAGTGATTTTGTATCAATTTGGCTTGTATCGTTTATCATTCTAGGTTGTCACTTTTATCTATTATATTTGCAATGTTTATATAACTAATTTGTATACATAGTAATTTGTAATGTTTGTTTGTTTAATTTGTATACTATATGTTGTGATTTGTATACTTTGTATTCATTGATTTGTAATACAAGTTTACTGTTTTGTATTGTAAGTAGTGGTATTTTGTACTATTAGTATATTTTGTAATGTTTACCGGTCTAGTTTGTATTGTTTGTATAGTTCGTATGTTTCGTATTGTTTGTAAATATGTTTGTATCTTTTGTCGCTCTAGTTCGTATTGTTCGTATGGTTTGTATTGTTTGTAAGTTCGATTTGTATACTTCGTAATTTTTCATTATACCCAAACTACCTTCGTCATTAATTAAAAAGTCATTCCCACTTTTTAACCGTCAGATTGATGTGTCCATATCTAAGGGATGGGAGGCGCTTAGTCAAGTGACTAAGCACCCCCCCTTAGTCATGGGATCTGGACCCCCTCTTTGTGAAGCGGCATGTCCTTCTCCATACTTAAAATATTTTTGCACAATCTCGTGGCATGGCATGGCCTCTTACAAGAGGCACATGTCCCTCGTTGGATCATGCCCATGCTCCTTAATTAATGTGTGACCTTATAAACTCATGACTTATCTTGTAACACATCAATGTAGTACAAGACAAATTTATAGTGTAAACAGAAACAAAACGACAAAATCCTAATCCCACCAAACTATGTAGGACCTACAAGAGAATGTACACTCATGCTGACAACTCAATCATCAATCTATAGCGCACGAACCAATCGGCATCGACAACTTATACGTACACGAATCCAAACTCGCCCGATTATACATGCACCACACAGCTTCCAACCTGAAAATGCTTTTTATTAATCAAATCATTATTCATCGAACTCATACCAACAACGACTGACTCGCTATGACACAACTCCTCACAAAGGCCAAGTGTAACCAATAAAAGGGACTGCAGTATAGTGGCTCAAGTAATAAATATCGAATCCACGGGTCTCTAGAGTTACTATTACTCAGCTTTAGTTCATTATCTAGCAAACTAGATTAGGATGAAAGAACTAAAACTACTCTAGCAAACTACAGTTAAAGTTAATCTAATTACAGGTTGGAAACTCACTTAGGTATGATTCCCCCTAGCCACTAGCCAGTTTAATGATTGATGATCTCTAACCTGTTTCACTTTCATTCACAATGCGGAGAATCCTTAACTAGACCTTGAGTCTCGACTAAAGGAACAAGGCCCTCTTGAGTCAATTGCCTAGAGGGACGTATCCTTCTCTAGAACAACCGATCAAGGCGTTTTGAACTAGACTCCCTCTATCGAAAGAGGTTCTCAATCGATACAAATCATTATCCAATCGTTTCTGTTAAAACCACTTACTAATTTGGATCAGGGTTTCATTATTCCCGGTTCGATCAACCACCATACGATTTGGCTACGAAGCAGCATACTCTATCCTTCTTATTTGCTAATTGGTAATAGAGATAAACGAACAAGGGCTTGGCCTAGTAATAATCCAGTATTTTAAGTAGTTCTTTTATTTGAAAAAAAAAATAAACTTGTATCACCATTATTCAATAAATAAAAAAAGAGTAGGCGAGACAATACATAAAAGAGGGTTGGGCTTGTTTTGGATCAAGAGGATCGGTTGGATTGGGCTCAAGTAATAAATATCGAATCCACGGGTCTTTAGAGTTACTATTACTCAGCTTCAGTTCATTATCTAGCAAACCAGATTAAGATGAAGAACTAAAACTACTCTAGCAAACTAGAGTTAAAGTTAATCTAATTACAGGTTGGGAACTCACTTAGGTATGATTCCCCCTAGCCACTAGCCAGATTAATGATTGATGATCTCTAACCTGTTTCACTTTCATTCACAATGCGGAGAATCCTTAACTAGACCTTGAGTCTCGACTAAAGGAACACGGCCCTCTTGAGTCAATTGCCTAGAGGGACATATCCTTCTCTAGATTAACCGATCAAGGCGTTCTGAACTAGACTCCCTCTATCGAAAGAGGTTCTCAATCGATACAAACCATTGTCCAATCGTTTCTGTTGAAACCACTTACTAATTTGGATCGCGGTTTCATTATTCCTGGTTCGATCAACCACCATACGATTTGGCTACGAAGCAGCATACTCTACCCTTCTTATTTGCTAATTGGTAGGCGAGATAAACGAACAAGGGCTTGGCCTAGTAATAATCCAGTATTTTAAGTAGTTATTTTATTTGGAAAAAAAAATAAACTTGTATCACCATTATTTAAAAAAAAAAAAAAAGAGTAGGCGAGACAATACATAAAAGAGGGCTGGGCTTGTTTTGGATCAAGAGGATCGGTTGGATTGGGCTTATTTTGGATTAAGTGGGAATAAATAATAGCCCAGTATATTCAACTTTAGAATAAAATTATAAATTAAAATTTCGACCACAGTGGGAGTCGAACCCACGACCTTCTGATCCGAAGTCAGACGCGCTAATCCACTGCGCTATGCGGTCTTGTTGTATAATTTTTCACTCAGCTATTATTCATTGTTTTATAGATCACAAATTGCCAAACGCTACCTGATCTTTACCACATTCCCATTCACACCCCAACTCTTTAACGCTTCCTCCATTCCCCCTTCTCACTTTCCCCGACGCTCTCCATCTCCTCCTCGAATCACCCCCTCAAAATCTAGGGTTTCTGCAGTTCTGCCTTCAACCCACCGCCGTCGCGGCTCCGGTAAGCTCCCCCTCCGCTCCTTCACTGTCGGTCTCGCCTCTACTCCAAACTCTCCCTTCTCTTATTGTCAATTCCGTTGTCTGCAATTTCACACTGTTTTCCTTACTTCATCAGTTGCGAACGTTAGACACTTCAGTCACTTTTTCTCTTTCCTTCTTGACGACCCATCTTGTCAATTGACCTGTCCATGGCGATTGAGTTTAGGAATTGTTCAGTTTTTTTTTTTTTTTTTGCTTCAGTTTGACCAGCTGGTGAATTGCAATTGACCCTGTTTTCATGAGGGCTTTTCTGTTTCCGCTGATCCAGTGTCAGCTTTCTTTGTCGCTTGTGGGAACGACGGAGATGGGAGTTTAAACGATGACTCTTTTTGGAAAAATTAACTATTGGATTCTGAACTGTTTTCTCTTTTCATCTTTCAGGTGAGTGTGATTCGTGATGCCGAGGGCAAAGCTTATACTCATCTGCCAGTGTGGCGGGGAATTCACGAAACATGATGACGGCACCATGTCATACAGCGGTGGAGATGCCCATGCTGTGGAGATCAACAGAGACACTGTCTTTGATGATCTCAAGCTCAGGGTTGCAGAGACCTGCAACTTGGAGCTTCAATCCGTCTGTATGAAGTATTTCATCCCGGGGATGACCAAGACCCTGATCACATTGTCCAATGATAAGGATTTCAACACCATGTATGAATTCTATGGCGAATCGATCACCGCAGATATTTATGTCACGGGTACTCAAGGGTTCGTTCGTGCAACTCCGACGCCATCCCCTAAGAAGCGTCCTGCTCCTGCCTCGTTGTAAGCTTTCGTTTCATTCCTTCTGGAAACTAATGAACTATTCATGGTTTTGTTAGCTAAGTTGGAGGTTACTGCTTTGATGGTTTGTAGGGGACGTGTGGTTAAAGCACTACCTGCAACAACTGGGATGCTTAAGAGGGCAGCATCCAAATCTAAATCAAAGTCAAATTCAAGATCAAGATCAAGATCAAAATCAGCTGCTGCTGATAGTCCGAGTTCGAGTAAATCATCACCTAGCAGTGATTCTGATGACTCCTCGCCTGACACTGAATCAGCTGGAATAGAAACACCACAAAGTCCGACCAGTAAAGTTGTTGATGTCCCAATTACATTTGATCTCGCTGCTACTCCTGCTGATACAGTAAAGAAGAGAAGGCGCACTGCTTCATGGAAAATCGGCACCAATGGTCGAATGACGATTGGTTCTTCTGCTAACGAGGGAGATTCTAGAATAACTGCATCGTGTATAAAGACCATTAGGAATCTGGATCCTTCAGTTGGAGGAAGTGGTACTGAATTGATGGTTATAGATGAACATACGAGAGACGGTTCATTGGACCAGTTGGTGGCCACTTGGAGAGATGGAATAACTGGTGTGGGTCAGGAATTTGAGAGCGTGGTCAAGTTCCGTGATGCCCTGCAGAAGTACGCCATAGCACATCGATTCGGGTATAAGCTTAAGAAGAACGACTCAAATCGAGTCAGTGCCGTGTGTGCTGCCAGAGCTTGTTACTGGAAGATATTTGCCTCGTGGGTCCCTAATGACGAAGTTTTACGTATCAAGAAAATGGACGAACCACACACTTGTGGGGAGGACTCTTGGAAGTCGGTTCATGCATCGAAAAATTGGCTGGTGAATGTTATCAAGGAGAGACTCAGAGAGAGCCCACATCACAAACCCAAAGAAATATCTAATGGCATATTTAGAGACTTCGGGATTGAGCCGAACTATGCCCAAGTTCGACGTGCAATCGAACAGGCTCGAGAGGAAATGCTGGGCTCATACACAGAGGCATACAAGAAGCTGCCTTGGTATTGTGAGAGATTACAGGAAGCAAATCCCGGTAGCTCCACAAACCTTGTCGTTGATAATGAGAGCAACAAATTTCAACGCCTTTTCATATCGTATCGTGCATTGGTAGTAGGTTTCCAGAATGGTTGTCGACCTGTTCTTTACCTGGACTCTACCCCTCTGAGATCGAAGCACCATGAGATTTTGTTGACTGCTAGTGCATTAGATGGAGATGATGGAATCTTTCCTGTCGCATACGCAATTGTAGATATAGAGAATAAGGACAGCTGGCATTGGTTTTTGGTGCAGTTGAGGTCTGCAATCTCGAGCTCAGAGCCGATAACATTTGTCTCCGACAGGGAGAAGGAGCTGAGAGAGTCGGTGATCAAAGTATTTACCGGTTCGTACCATCGTTATTCACTATATCACTTGCTGGAAGAATTCAAGAGAAATCTCAAGGGCCCATTTCATGGAGACGGCAGACCATCACTGCCTGTAAACATGTTGGCTGCTGCATGCACTCGTCGGCTCGAAACCTTCAACATGCTCCTTGATCGTATTAAAGAGGTCTCTATAAAAGCTCATGAGTGGCTTGTCCAGATTGACCCTGAACTTTGGGCAAGTTCGCATTTCAAAGGCGAGCAGTACACTCCTGAGAAACCAGACTCATTCAGTACTGCAAACTTCTACTCAAAGTGGATCGACGAGGTGCGGGAGATGCCGATTACAATGAAGCTAGAAGCGATCAGAGGAAATATAATGGAGTTGATGCAGAGTCGTAAAACCGAATCAGATAGCTGGATGACTACTTTGAGAATCACTCCTTCCAAGGAGAAGAAGCTTCAGGAGGAAGGGGCGAGAGCTCGATCTTACAAGGTGCTATTCTCAAATGGGATCCTGTTTGAGGTTCACGACGGTTTGATCAATGTCGTGGATACCGACTCGAGGAAGTGCACATGTTTAGAGTGGGTCGTGAATGAGTTTCCATGTCGTCATGCGATTGCTGTCTCTCTTCGGACTGGACATGTGGCGTATGATTATTGCTCGCAATACTTCTCAGTCGAGAAATATCGTGCGGCTTACTCTGGGTCGATAAACCCTGTTACAGACCCTTACAGTCCTCCTGAGGAAGAAAACGATGAGGAGATGACCGAGTCTACTGCAGTTGTGCTTCCTCCTACAACGCCAAGGCCTCCGCCTTTGCCTAGGGAGAGGTATTACAAAAGTAGAGGGGAACTAAAGAGGATAATCTTGTGTACAAGATGCAAAGGCGAAGGGCATAACAAGGCTACTTGTAAGGAGCCTCCTTCGGAGGAGGGAGATAAGGAGGCTGATGGAGCTCAGCAGCCAGAAGAACAACACCTGCTTGAAGAGCTGGATCAGGGGGAAGAATCCACGGAGAAAGAAAGCAGCAACATAGGAGAACAGAAGTTGAAAGCTTTGTGCACCAGGTGCAAGGGAGAGGGACATTACGAAGCCACCTGCAAGGAGCCTTTGATACTAACTGAGGAGGTGAACAAAGATGGATCGTAGAAGATAATTTCATATTTGGGATTACCCTTGTATCATTGCTCTGTACAGTTTCCATTGCTCGACTGAGGAACTCTATTAAGTGTTTTCAAGGAGAAATGCAACTTATCTGTTTGCTTGACTTGCCCTTGTGATGTTAGTTGCGGTGTGACACTCTTGAAATTTTGATGTTAAGGCCGAAAACATTAGGTACTAAAATGATAATCCTTGTCCAAAATTCAGATATAGTTACAGGGATTTGGATGAATTAAACTGGATCCAAACCAATTGGAAGCCACTGTTGCTCGTCTATTAGTACTCAACAGAGATACTTGCCTGTAACTAAACATAATAAGGAAGCCATTGTTGCTTCTATAATCCTAGCACAGCAGTGGTTAAACAAATTACAAGGTACATTGTACCCAGCTCAACCGAAAGTCGTAGAAATCGCACCAGAGACACTCTTACAACAACCAGACGCCACCTATATCTCTCTCTAGTTATCCATCTAAAACTATCTGCTGTATATCTACAGAAGTTACAGATCGTGTGTCCACTTCAGTTGAGAGAGGTAATCTACACACAACACTGTGGGCATTGAGGGTCACTTGTGTTCTCGAGGCTCGTATTCTCCTCCAAACATTCCGCATGATACATATGGCCACAAACCAGAACAGCTACAACAGCATATTCACCGGAGGATGATGGCAAGTCACCAAGGGAGTAAGGCTTTCGTCTCAACAGCTTCTGGCAGATCCCGCATACCATCTTTATTGAGTCTGAGGAGGATACAACATCTGTTACTAATGAGCTGAACCGGATCCTCTCCGGTCGGATGAAATCAGCTTTTTCCCTGTAATCTGAGAGGGAGGAATGTGTATTAGGGAGAAAAAAAATAAATATAAAAAAAAAAGTGGAGAAACTACAAGCAGATGATACTGGGCTAATGTCCATACTGCAATACGTTAACCGGAAATGGAAGCAATTAACTACCCCTACCACTATTGCAGCATGCACAATAAGGAAAAAGTAAACTCAGCCGTAAGGTTAACTTCACCTCCCTGATGCCTGAACTGTAGACTTGCTTCGTGTTGACTGCCAAACTTGAAGGGGAGTCTCTCATCGTGTGAAATGTGGTGATTCCTCCCATGAGAAGGCAATGATGGACCAGCATGGCTTGCTGTGTTCCTACGAGAGTAATGATGTCCATAATGATGACGTGATCGTTTCAGCGATATCGATCGACCAAGGTTGTAGTGCTGTTGTGAGAGAGACGAGTGCAAGTTGAGCAATCTGGTGGAGTTCTCTTGTGCTTGCATCCCTAGCGAAGGAGGCTTCAGTTCAGCAGAATCGAGCAAACGAGAACGTCTCTGCGAAGGTAAGGATGACAGAACGTGCTTGATCACAATGTTAAAGATGATAAATTAATGTCATACATTGATTCTATCAAACGAACAATTAACCCAGACCACGCAAGAAAACCGAAATGAAACCAAAAAGACAAACCTCGTGGGGTAGTGATCCCCTTCCAGAAGAGAAGGGCATATCACCTGCATCATTCACATTCACAATATGAATCAACATATTCCGTCCAATATATAGAATAAACACGAGCCACAAACAGAGTTCTTATCTCACATAGCAATTGTTCGTTACGAGACCGCCGGTTTCTCTTATCTAAACTATTGTGGGGCACTCCCTGTCTAGAATACACAGGCAAAAGCCAGAAAAGGAAAGGATGCAGGCTACTGATTATACAGCAAGAGATCCCCAGATTTTGAAATGTGCCTCAGTTTGTTAGGAAGTTTCATGCTTACATCCATCCAAACCGCAATTCGAGTTTTCAATCCGAAAACTACAATTAAGGAAGATGCTATGCACAAACCACAAATACAACAGATTGCCATTGCTATCACGTCCTATCACAAAGTCTGAACAGTCTGATTCTATTCGTGATCATTCGATGTAAGCTCCACAATGAACAAAAGGGATTCGACATAGCCAACTCCAGCTTCTTCTTGCATGTAGAGGCAATCATTTTGGAAGGCCAAAAAGACAATGACTGCATTATCAATTCCAAACAACATCATCTCTCAGGATCTCCATTTCCTAATTTTCGATTTGGTAAAATGACAATCCACAGCTCAATCAATCAAAGTCGAAAAACAAACAAGGATACAACTAAAACCAAGACCTAATCTTTCCTATTTGGACATTCTACATGAGTAAAAGATGCCAAATTTTTACCCAAAAGCAAACAAATCTCTCGGGAGTTCCCCCTAGATATCAGTAAATACAACAAACCCAGCTCAATCGATTCTCAAAGATTCATGCAATCTAGCCAAGTTAAAACACAACCCATCATCCAATTTCAACAGCTTCCTCAAATCCCCGTCCAAGCAACAAAATTTCCACCGAAACCAACGAACCCACCAGACGAAAAATCAGCCAAAATGAACGAAAGGATCGTACCAGAGGGTGAGGGAGATGGGGAAGAAGAAGGATCGGTTGGCGGGTTATGATGATGGGGAGCTGAGCCACTTCGCTTCCTCTTACCCATAACGAAAACAAGGGGAAAGAGACACAGAGAGACCCAGCGGCACCCTTCAATGGCGGAATTGGCAGCCGCAAAGAGAATCGCAGGGTTTTGACGAAGGGAGGACAAGAAGATTGTGGATTCGCGTGGTTAGAGGAAGAAGAAGAGGGGCATTTCGCTCCCAAAAAAGGGGGGAAAAAGCTCTTCCCTTTTTCCTTTTTGGATGTCGGATTTCACACACAGCTACTGCCAGTACTGCTTTGCTACTATACTAGCTTAGCTACCGACGACTCCACGAAAGAGACGACGAGAAAATGAGAGCGGATGAAGAGGAATCAAATGAATGGAAAGGGAGAAAACTCCGTTCATCATCTGTTTCCTTCCTCCAACGCGGCGACACGTGCACTGTTTCGTACTTCGCAGTATCGTATCATTTTCATTCTTTCGTGTCGAACTTCTCGCGGGAAATGGGGGAGAAAAGAAAAACGCCTGTCTTCTTCTCTTTCCTCCTCTGCTTTATGCCTTCTCTTCTCTTGTGATCAAGCAAAGGCTGCAGCTTGCGATCGAAAGAATTAAGTAACAAGCATATGGAGTGAAAGCTCAGCTGAATCCCACAAATTTTATTCAATGCTAATCAAACTTTTGAATACATAACTCAATCGACTCATCTCGGTTTCAACTTAACAACGTGACCTCCGTAATTCTTAAGAAAACGTTCTATGACATAACTGATTGTGACTCTAACAACTCGGCTCAACAAACCGTTGATCACTGTCCTCCTAAGAGTTAACTTTCTTTGATTTTGTCCGAACAGCAGCAATCGTCATCTCCTTTGATGCCAATAAGCCTCCGGATGTGTGTCTCTCGGGCGCCTAAGACCTCCACCAGCAGCACGAGGTGCACCATTGCCGTGCCAAGCTGCAGCATCCACTACTTCCGGAGCAGTACCCATTCGAGCCCGCTCCATCCTGAATTCCTCCTCGAACTCTCGTTGCAGCTCCTCGAACTCCTTGTCCTCGGCTTCCATCTCCTCCATTGACCTCTCGACCGCTTCGTTAAAGTGATGGATTGATCCTGATAGTCGAAACCGAACTTAATTAGAACCATGGGAGAAGACAGCAAAATTAACTGTGAGGCAAGCATCAAACACCCAATACATCCTTCGGGAGCAGAGAAAGAACACTAAACCACGACCTAGATTCCCTAATCCGTAAATTGAAGCAATTCCATTGTACTAAACAGAGGAAGAACAGGGGAGAAAAAGGGTTGAGAAACAAACCTTCAGGACGCTTCAACGCCTTCTTCAGTTCCCGGAAATTCGACATGATGGAGCAACGCAAATACGCAATCGAAACTCTGTCGAATAAGATAAGAACAACAAAGGCATGGCCGGTCGATAGTTGCGAGGGAGTACCAGACGGAAGCTCTGGCGGAGAGATTAGTAGGAGGAGGAGGAGGAGGAGAAGAAGAGAACTGACCGACCTTGTGACAGAGAAGCTGGCGACGGCGGGGAAGATTAGGTTTTTTGGATAGGGTTTGAGGGCGTTCGTTGTGAAGCGTGGGAAGAAAGTAAAGCCTCGAGATCTGGATTTTGAGTATTTATAACCGAGCTGATTTTTATAAACATGCAATATACGGAACTAACAATATAAAAGAACGTGGGAAGAACAACAACAAGCACCAGTGGTCTAGTGGTAGAATAGTACCCTGCCACGGTACAGACCCGGGTTCGATTCCCGGCTGGTGCAATTTCAGAGCTGTGATGATTCCTGCCTCTGCGAAGTGGTCCTTCGCAGCTATTCTGATTAGTGACCGAAATCCAAGGCATTGCTGAGCTCTCTTTTTTACCCTTATTTTGTGGTACTACCGTGGTTCAATCGTTGTGTATCGGCAAAATATCGTTTTTGTAATTAAATAATATTTTCTTGTTAAAAAATCGTACCGGCAGATTCAGGATACCGTTTCGGAATAATACCGGAATAAAATCGAAAGATACCGGATAACAAACCTGAATAAACTAAATAGACATATTTAATATTATATTAATATTAATTATTTTCTAAACATATATAAAAACCCAAAAACTATTTTCAAGTGGAGCCGTGGAGCTGATTGGTCCGATTCAACATACCACTCTTTTTATATTTTATTTTAGATTTATTTTATGAAAAGTGATATTTCAATTTAATAGCTTATTAGTTAGATAAAATTGGTAAACCCCCCCTGATTTTATTCTTTATCAGTAACTTCTTTCTTTTTCTTTAATGATCTCACGTCTTTCTTTCTTTTTTTTATTTTGCCATATTTTGTTAATTTGTTTTATCTCTCATTCTCTCATCTCTTTCTATTCTCTCTCTTCCCATAGAAATTCTCTGCCGCACACGGCCCTTCACTTTCCATTTCCTTCATCGTCTCTGCCAAGAGATTGAAAAATGAACTACAACAGAGGATGTTGATTGCCCGGGAACCCTCCAAACGATGATGAAAGGCGAATTCCTTTGTTGCATGTTGCATTCGTTTTCTCTCCACTCTTCCTCTGCTTCTGTTTTACTCTGTTGCATGTTGCCTGGGAACCCTCCTGAGCTTTGATTCTCATCTCCATACCATTTTCTCTCCACTCTTCCTCTGCTTCTGTTTTACTACTAGAATTTGCTATAGCTTATTGGATTTCTCTATCTTTTTCTTTCGGTAGGCTTTTTGAGACTTGCATGTTCAATTTTTTTTTTTGATAGATTCTAATTTGGTTAAATTTTAGGATTCTGGCCCATTTTATTTCTGCGTTTGGTCTCAATCGAAGAAGGGAAGAAGAAAAAGAGTCATCGGCTGGCGCGAACTAGCGCGGGATCGCGGGGGCTATTTAGGCGAATTGGGTAACATAAATCTAGTGCCCTCCGTCCCAGTAAATCTCGTGTTACTCATCCCTAAGATTGACTACTCGTGTGGATATTAGCAGCACTCGCCACTCGCCGGAGGATTCATCGCGGAAAGGGAGTCGGCGGCGTGATTGGTGAACCGGACGGTCTGATGTAAACCGGACGGCATACCGGGAAATGCCGGTTACGCCGTTAATACCGGCCGGCGAGGTAGAATAGGCGCTGGTAGGGTGCCGTTTCGTCACTGGCTTGATTCCCGGTTTTACCGGTTGAACCGGCCGGTACGATCCGGTTTCCTTTACCATGAAAAATACAGGGAATGGTATGTCTAGACTCTAGAGCATGACATGATAATAGGCAAAATTAAGAGACATGTTTATCTCTGTTGGGACAACTTGTCATTTCCTGTCAAGCACAACAAGCTGAAACCATAGTTGCGATGTTTCATTTGTTCAGTCAGAACCCAGTAGTTATATTGAGCTTCTCATCTCCCACATATGCTATGTATGAGCTCGTAAGCGTCGATATGCTACCCGCATATATTTGGTAGACAAGACAACGATGTTTGGAACCTCCCCAGTGGCGGTTCCAGGGGGTGGCCACCCCGGACCACGACACAACCCTCCTCTGGATCCGGAGCTAGTATAGTCCTTATGAGTTTATCGATTTTAGCCATTCGGTCCAGTGTTAGTCTATAATAAGATTGTGTGTAATTAGGAAAATGGGTAAGATGAACATATTCAAATCACAACTCTATATTTAGCCTGCAAAATCTAGCTCCAATGATTCTCATCTAAAGAAAAACAAACAATGAAACCTAAAATTCTAAAACGTAAAAGACCAAAAGAAATATGAGGTTTGTTCGCTTAAGAAATTACTAGAGCACCTGGTGAAAGTAGAAATTGATACACAATATATGTTGATTAGTCAATTGATTTGTCTAGTGTTAGACCTCGTTTCAACAACTACTATGCAGAGAACCTTTTCAATAATGAAACAGATGAAAAATTATTTGCGCAACAAAATGAGCGATGAATTTCTCGCCAACTGGGTAACTATTTTATCTTAAAGAGAGTATGCTATTGGTATGGATGTAGACTCCATTATTGATGAATTCACTGTATTAAAATTTAAAAGATCGACGTGTATAATTGATATTGTAAAAAAAACTACCATTTGTTTACAGTATCTGATTTTTTAATAAAATGCGGCCCAGTATTCTACTGGGTCCTGGATCCGCCGCTAAACCTCCCAATAATGACTATATATTAGGATGATAGCCCATTGCATACGAGGTGGAGAGATTGGAAAAAGGCTTCGAAAAGGAAAGAGAAGCAAGATGTTCTGGGCAATGGAAGCGAATAAGAATTTGATCCAATGATATACTATCACTGATTTTTCAACTTAAAGATCCCATGTTCAAATGCTTTAAGTAAAACCTAACATTAAAAATAAACATATGTCATCCTTATAAAGAAAAGATGTTTTGGGCCATAAAAGCAAGTTAGAAAATAGGATGGAATAATGAGTTTGTTTATAGTTTTCGTCTCTTTTTACGAATGAGCCAACGGTGTTAATCGAAACGGAAACGAAAGATAATCGACATGGTGTTTACGTGATTTCCTCGTTCAGGAAGAACGAGACTAGTCCACGGCCGAAGCAGTAATCTTCTTATTCAGATGATCGTTACAGAGTACATATGTAGGTTTATATATTCTTAATTAACCCTAGCCGAGTCTCCTAAGGAATGGAGAGAGAGCACTACTAACACACAAAAGGGCCTAACTCAATATATACACTTGGGTCGAGCCCTATATCTCAATAGGGGTGGCAGTTCGGTTATTTTGGTTATAACCGGTAATAGATCGGTCAGTTATCGGTTAACTGAAATAACCACTCCCCCTACCGAAAACTGCCCAAAATAGGCTTTGGTTTCTCGGTTATCTCGGTTATCGGTTAATCGAATCACTTTTAAGACCAAAAACCATTTCATCCAGCCTCCGATAACCGACCAAAGTTCTGTTACTTCGGTTACCGGTTAGTGGATAACCGGTCGGTTAACCGATAACCGGTAACCGAATTGCCACCCCTATATCTCAACAAACGGTGTGTGGTAGGGGGAATCATAAATGGCAATAGTAAATACAGAGGACCTCTTTGTTATCCACCATCAATTTGGACGATAAATGTATTTTAGATAATTTTTAACATATGAAAACACCTTGTAGATTATTGTAAAACATTAATAAAAACTAAGTTATTTTTTCTTTTGACATTGATTAGCTAAATTTCTGACTCCCTGCTAACTGTGTCCCTATCCGTAACACAAACGAATTTTATAAATATGAAATGTTATAATAGTAAGTTCGTTGGGTGTCGATGTAAACTTCGTATGTTGCGTATGCGTCGATATGCTGCCCGAAGAAATTTGTCATACGATATAGGGATGTCTGAAACCTCACAAGAACCCGCTAGATATATTGAGCTTCTCATCATATCTATGTACGAGCGCGCGTATGCGGCGATATGCTGCTCGTAGAAATTTGTCATACTATATAGGGACTAGCTTTTACCCGACCCGTTGGTCGGATGAATTTTTTTTTTGTATTTTTTGTGTTATCAATTTGTGTATATTTTAAATGATTTGTGATTCTTTTATATACTTCTTGCATGATTGGAAAGCATAGTTAGTAAATATTCTGTTTAATACACGTATATCATATATGTACCCATACATATTTTATTCGTTTAAAATTTCCGTATCCATATTATTGTCAAGCCGTTTCATTTTTTATTGTTCATTTGATGGCTTCCATACTAAACACGTATAAAACCCATATAACCCGTTTAATACCCGTATTTAATGAAATAAAGTGTTAACTTTACTATTATTTATATTTATTTTTAAAATAATTAATTTCATATATTTATGACTATTAACATATTATTAAACGTAACATTAGTTTGAGACGAAGTAAAATACCCATACGTATAAAATACATAACCGTTCCCATATTTTACTGCTATGTTGGAAAGTAACATTTATGTTACTAACTATATTTTTTGTTCTCTCTTACTGTTTCCTATATCCCCCACCCACCCACATTTTAGAAGATATTTTAACTTTTTTTGTTACATAAATGATTCAAGAGGTAATTATTCATAATATTTGTACTATTAACTTGATTTTGTTACCTCCAAATGAAAGTCAGACAATATGCATTGAAGTAGTAAATTGGAACTCCATGGGTTAGCCTACTTGTAATATGGAAAGATAACTTCACCACATACTGAGATCAATTTTATGTTCAACAATAAACTAAAAAGATAATAATTAATAAAGCATCAATTATTAAATGTTGATTCATTGATACCTAATATTTACCTCTTGGTTGCTAATAGATGATATTGACTTATGACTATAGTTGAAGGCTAGTATAATGACCAAAATC